TCTCTCATGACTTTTTATTTCGCTTTTTGTGTCCTCATATATTATGAATTGTAACCAATGTAATATCATGACAATTTGTATGAGCCAAGCTAAAAGCAGAAATGAAATAACAAACAAAATATTTCTTCACGAAAAGAGTTGAATTTTGTGACAATTTGAGTTGCATAAAAGAGGGTAAAAGATGCAAAACTATCACTTCAATTTAACTCAATATTTTTCCTTTCATATACAAATGTTTGATGAAATATTGAGTTGAACGGGAAGAGTTCATGAATGAATCAGAAATGAAAATGGTTTTGAAAGGGAAAGCAACATTTCAACATAAATCTTTCAATATCATGATTGAGATTATCAATTGGAGTTGCTTTTTGAAGAAGACGAAGAAAAATGTTTATCAATGTTTAAAAAGATCCAACTTTTTGCAATTTTTTTCTTCTTCTTCTTTTTCTGGTCAAATTTGGACAAAGTTGAACAGTAAAAATTGGTTCAATTTGAATTGCTTTTTGTCAATTACGATTCATCAAAAGTTCAGTTCATTAATATGTATTATGATAAGAAGATGAAAGATTTACCTTCAAGCAATGGCTTCAAGAAACTCTTCATTTGTCATTTCAAAATTTGGAACATTTTCTTTGTTCTTTTTGTTGTTCAAACGAATTGGACAAATGTTAAAAGTACATCTCAATTTAGACTGGACATTGAATGTTTGTCTCTCTCTCTCTTGTCCAAGAGTGGAAGAATGAAAAATTTGGTTTCTTTTTTTGTTCTTCTTCTTTTGGCAAAAGTTGAAAAGTCATCATTTGGATGATGTAAAATTCAGTGGACTTGAAAATACTTGAAATGACTTGGGTTATCCTGTAATGCATGCTGTAACCCATGAGAAGAGTAAAGACCATGATGAGTGGAAAAAGATATGGCAAAGTGAAACAAAGAACTCGAAAGATAAAATGTGGTCTTAAGAGAGTCTATCTGAACATGGAATCAAAGTGAGTCCAAGTATATGTTGTGACAATTTCAAGAGCTCAGATTTGCTGATGACAAGCCATGTCAGTTTGTGCTTTTTTCATCTTCATCTTTTTTCTTCATCTTCTTCTTTTTCCTCGTCCCTTGTTCAGTCTCTGGATCCATTAAAATAACGTTCATTTGTACAGTTGATTGTTTTCCTCTTCAACTATTGTCTTCTTTACCCAGTCGCTCTGTTTTTTTACTTCAACTGCTCATCTTTATCATCTTACATCTGCAACTCTTTTTTTCTGGGTTTCCTTTTTTTTCCTCCACTCTTCCCATTATCATCCTCATCTTATAGTTAACCTTTCCGTGCACAATAAAAGTGCTCAGAAAGATAGACCAGATTGAATGGGAGAGGGAAGAGGAAAGACGAGGAAAAAAAAGATGTTCAACAATAATGTTCATTCAGTGTGCTCTGCCTAGGAACATCGGTTTCGTTTTGTTTAATATTATTTATCTTATTCTTGTTCATCTTCTTGTCTACTTTTGTTTCATTTCATTCTTTTTCAGGTCACTTGTTCGAAACTCCATTAAATGGTTCTTCATGTTTCTTCATGTTTACAAGGCAAATCTTTTTCAAATCCAAAGGGATCGAGAGGCAAGCTTGGATATAAAATCAGTTCAATGATAATTGTGTGTAAATGGGATACTTTTTTATCCATGAATCGGGTTAAAGGCTGTCTTAGATTCAATTTTATCGAGTCAAAGGATGAAGACTAAGTCTGTCTAAAGCTTACCAGAAGGCTAACTCAAGATCAATAATTTATACTGGTTTCGAAAATTGAAGCCGCTTTTCGATATCTAAAAATTATCAGTTATGTTAGCGTTTGAGAAAAAATTAGATGAATGATGATTTCGGTGTATTCAAAATACTTTGTCACTCAAATCAGTTCAATTATCAAAAGGCCGGAAAAGCTAAGAATACTATTCTTTGTTCAAATCACAGTAGTCAGGTCCGGCGTTGGATCGACTTGGCCGTTCCGCAAAAAGTTGGTTACTCTTACTGAAAATTTTGAAACTTTTTTATTGAAAAACGTAAAATATCCAATAGTTAAGACTTGATTTTTCTTGTTCAATCTGCAATGCGAAATTCAATCAATCTACAATATCGTTCTTGGAATTATTAAAGAGAAATTTCAAAATACCGTTCGCATCACATATCGATGAATTGATCTTTTCTAGCCGATTCGTTTCTTTACTCATGCATCCTACATTTAAGCATGGGCATTATAATTGTGCTGCATATCAATCTTTGGATAGAGGTTGGAGAGTGGATACTGTGAAAGGTTAGGTTAGCTTAGGTTAGCTTAGGTACAGAAGCACTGGACCTCTGGAACTGATAGTTTTTGGAGATCACAACTTCCTATTGGTTCATGATACCCACACATCTGAATGCTTGAGTTTTAGATTCAAGATGAGAATCAAAAATAGCAAAAAATCTACAGCCAAGTCAATTTCAAAGCACTCTTCCCTATTGATTAACCGCGTCCTCTCAGCAAATTCAAAGAGCTCAAAGACTGACAAACTTTGACTTCAAACTCATTGGCATCAAGTTGTTTGCTATAACAAGTTATACACTCAACCTGTAAAATATTGATCAAGTGATAACTAAAATGATGACTAAAGTTTATTAAATCAATATACTTTAAAGTTAGTCAAAATTGAACCAGTTTTGGTTGACTTGAAAGACTCATCAGGCTATTTTGCATTATTATTGTGAGGAAAAAAAAAGTTTATACAAAATTGGTAATTCAGCATAAAAGCTGAAACTGTTGACTAAAGTTTATTTGATAAACATTTATTGCTGCTTGTTTCAATCAGCGTTCAACTGGTTTTCATTTAAACTTCAATTTTGTACCAAGGTTCATCATTTAGCATTATTATTTAGACGGAAAAAGCAATAAAACTTGAAATCACTTTTTATCATTACATAGATGATGCAGCTGTTGACTTTAAATTGATTTGATTCCAAAAGACATTTCAGTTGAACATTTGAAAAGGGGAAAAAAAGGTTGACTCAATAGTTTTCTTGTTTACTTTGAATCTGTTTCATCATTTTTTATCGCTTCAACCCAGAATTGATGACTTTGAACCATTTGAATGTCTAATGAACACGTTGACATTTCATTAATCACATTATATTGATTGATTGACAGTTAATGATGTTAACAATGGACCTGACTCATGTTTCATTGATTGAACTGGTCACTTGTTCATCGACTCAGTTAATCGCAAATTTTTTGCATTTCCAGCATTCTTTCCATTCTCACAATATGTTTAATTTTTGCCATTTAATCATGAAGAAACTGATCAGGAATAAACATGAATTTCATGCAAAACTTGATGAGAAACTTGGATTCAAAGAAATGATGGAAACGAGAAAAAAATGAAATCTTGATCGATCATTAAAGAAATGATTTTAAAAGCTTTTCAACTGAAAAATTATAATCAACTGATTAACAAGTTAAAAATGGAAACGTTTTTTTGCCTCAACTTTTCTTATTAAAAACGCTTTTCTGGTTAAAAGTTAACAAGTTTGGGTAAACATCATTAAACAGTTTAATCAACCAGCAATTTGACTGAATAATGATGATAATAATGAAATAGTTTGAATTGTATTTTCCTTTGAAATTGATTAACAATTTGCTTTTCAATTGTAAATCGTTCAATGTTTAGCAACACATCATTAAACGTTTACTTTTGCCAGCATTCAACTTTAACCCTTATATTGTTAATAATTATTGAACAGTAAATAATTTATAATTTGTTTAAATGCGATTAATTATCAAATCTTTTTTGTTCATTGCCTTTTCGCTTCGTTGTTCAGTGGTTACAATGTTGAACCTTTGTTTGAGTAAATGGTTTTCGTTGTTTAAAACTGATTGAAGATGAAGAGATTGAGGCAAAAGTAAATGTCAATGAGACGAAAGAAATTCAGATGAAACTGAATATTAAAGGGTGTTACGGATAAAAAA